CTAGATAAGTAGGGATGTTTTTAACATGATTTGCACAATTGGTCACAATTATTTTTCACAAAATCATTTTTATTTTTAATTACTTATCTTCTGTTTGGAAAAAGTAGTAATTTTAGTAGCGTTACTTCGAAAATGATGAGACTTTTTGCACACAGTAATATTGATAAATAAGTATCCAGGTTTTCATTAAGTAAAATAATAAAATGAAAATAATACAGCTATAAGTTTTTTTTTTAAATTTTTGACACCAGACTTTTGGGATTTTTGAAAAAAATAATTGAACCTAAATATCTCGAAATTAGTCCACATTTGCATAATGAATTTTATGGTTCATTTGATAGGCTATGACCGCAACTATCACGCCTTGGCGGGTATACGTCGAGTTACCAGTAACCCTGTAGATTATATACTTTTTCCTAAAGACATTGCAAAGATAGTTGCAGTGTCTGATACTATTTTATTTATTATATTTTTAATATTCTGCATCATGAGAATATGTGAAGATTGGGTTGTAGCAGATCGAGGAAAAGTTTTAGGCTGAATTGTTATAGAGATGAACTCATAGGATATTATTATGGAACATTATTAGCCTGAGTCTAACTTAAATCGATACAGTGACCCGCGAAAACTCATGGTCACAATCTTTTGGAATCCAGAAGGAAATATTTTGATTGATTACATAGACAAAGGTGATTATATAACCGGAGTATACTACGTTGGAATAATTAAAACGTTAAGACGCTTTAAAAGAAAAAACCCGTGAATAATTGAGACAAGACATACGCACAACAATGCGCCTGTGCACAAGCCGTATATTGCGATGGTTGCTCTTCAAATAATATGTTTTGAGGGATAATAATTTGAAACTTTTATGACTAATTGTTCACAAAATTATCCCTTACCGTTACACAGCCTATTACAATCCACTGCTAAACATAGGCGTCCCCCATAGATCGACTATTAGGGGCATATTTGCCATATTTGCCACGCTTGGCAAGCGGGTTGACAACCGCACATTTTAAACGTTATTAGGAAGACGCTGCTGCCCATCTTCTGATTAGTTGCCCTCTGTCGCCTCTTACAAAGCCCGCGGGAGGATGTGGGGTAGTGGATATTCTTCACCGCCACTATAGTCTGTTGACTAAGATAGTGTCGGTACACCCGGGAAACACGTATTATTTTGCTTTTATTTTGTAATTTTTTACCGGGTTTGTTAAATAAGCGCTTTTTTAATCTAATAATATATAATACTATTTTATTATAATACTTATAGTAATAAAATAGAAATATAAATAATAAATACAAGTTAGGTAGCAAGAGAATTTAAATGAAAATTATGAGGTAACCATAAACAAAGTAAAATAGACACTATTCTTCATCACTCGAAGTGTCGGAGCCATTGCCACCTGTATTTATAATAAGGCATTTAACGTCATCACGTTCTGAATCCATACTAAAATAGTACATATTTTTGTTATTGGTTCACCCAAAATTTCATCTTGAGGTACACTTCACTGTCCTCCCAAGAACGAAAAAATTTTTTTGTATGCGTAACAGAGTCCACAAAAACAACCTTTCACTACGGCGTTTGGTTTTAAAATGCCACGTAGACATGTGTCAATCATGAATGCTTCGTTCGTTTGAGCTGGTACACTTAAAAGTATTGATGGTTCGTTCATCTGTTTTTTAATGTTCCGGTACAACCAATCACAAACAATTGACGGTACCTTTTTAACTCGTGATTAGTGTGAATTATAAATGAGTCAAAAACCGACCGAATCCTGAATGAATTGTTTTTAGTATAGGGTACAAGAGTCTGAATGGATTTGAATGATCGATCCGAATGTACCGGTACGCGTGACGAAATATACTAGAATGATTCGGTCACGAGAAATGAATGATTGACACATCTCAAATGCTACGATTTGTGATGAGGCGGCCTTTGACAAGATGCAGCACGTGCCGAGGCAGCTCGACACAAAGGCGACCGTATCTAAACTAACAAACTACACTCATTCCCATTATCCCTTAGCGATTAGTATTTATTTATAAAATGAAAAAATAGCTCCGGGCGACAAAATTTGCAATAAACGATCCGATTTGAAAACTATAATGGTTCAAGAAGAATTAAACGGAACCAAGGCTCTAAAGTCTATGCCTGGAATCTGTCTCCAGAAGGATCTGTTGAGATTGTGTGTTGTGATTCAACTGTCGAAGTAGAAGACCGTCTGTGGCAGCATCATTATCGAAATACCTGAGATTTTCAGAGAAAATGAGAGGTTCTACGGACAACTATACACATCATCGTTCACTAGTCCGATTATCATAATCCGGACGTCAGTCTGAGCGAGATTATAATGACTATTCCAGTACCTTAAAATGGCAGACCGACGAAGAAGAGAGACGAAGATGGAATTACAGCGAGCTTCAGATAGCGGGCCAAAGATCGAAACTTAAATTCGTTCAGAAGATTTTTAATTCCGTTCTCCGTAGTGAAACACCTCCAGAGACGTGGAGTAGAAGTGCGCTGTAGTTCAGTCGTTCGGTGCAGGGTTTTCTTCAAGAAAGGCGACAAGCTTCTGATTCCGTCGAATTTTGAGCGGTACATCATGTGGAACTTGTCACACACATGCTGATAGATATTGGGAGCACTATGCTCGGAGTTGTTGACGCGTACGTTTACCTACAACAAATTGTTTGACTATGTAAGTCCAACCTTGAACGATAAGTCAATCCACGAATTCGATTCGATTGGGCAGCATTCGGAAGATTACGACATATCATCTCGTCACACATACCTTAAAACTTAAAAGAAAAAGAAAGAAATAAAAAGTTTATTTGGTACATACATTATAACAAAAAGAGTAAATTAAGAAAAACATTTTTTTATATCTTATCAAAAATATTTAAAAAAGGAATAACACTCAGCTTTAAGTCACGAATTGAAGATACAAATACATCATAATCATAATACATTCGTAACGCTGACTTCCAGTGGAGCCAGGAGTGTGAAGCAGATGACGAATAACAGAAGAGCAAAAAAAAAACCAAACAAAAATATAAAATAAAATGAAAAAAAAAAAACTGTCAAAATTCCACGTGTCAGTGCAATATTGATAGTGTAGAGATGAACAAACGGTGGTATGCATACAGAAAAAATAAAATAAATTGTGTATGTGTATGTGGATGTGTGTATGCGTGTTTGAGTGTATGAGTGCGTTCGTATGTGCATGTACGGTACCAGCATCGAGGTTGTATGAACTATACCATTTATGCCTATTTGCTTGATTTTTGTAAATCAGAAACTTTTTTAATAAAGTTTTAAAAGTCGCAACTGTTTTACTATTTATGATTGGTGGTGGTATATTATTCCAGCACTTCATGGCAGCAAAACGGAAATTACCACGGAAGGAAGTTGTGTGATGCTTAGAAGAAAATAAGCTTTTGGAACAAGTATGATGGTTCCCTGGTATTTATAACTCCAAAATAGATCAGAGACGTCCTTTACTGCTGGTCTATGAGGAAACTTAAGGCCACGCAAATACCTATGTTGAGGGTTATGCTCTGTCTTTCTGTGCGTGCCAGGTTCCGTACGTAATGAGGATATCTGCAGTAAAAACAGACATAGCGTAACAGATCAGGAAGCTAATGTTGTAACGCCTGCTTTGCGGCTTGTGATAAGCTGTAATGATGTTACAAGTTACGTACAAGATTGTAAGTACTTACTTTATGAGAGTTGCTACTTTAGCGTACTTGCATAGGGTATCAACGAATTCTTCCATAAACTCCATTTTGCCTTGTCGTAACAATGTATAAATGCCCACCAAAAGGGGGAAAACCATCAATATTATCGCTTACGCTACTTATTAAATCTCCTAAATTTTTTATTGATTTTGGAATTAGAAAACAGAGTGCAATATTAAAAATATATTGTAAAAAAAATCTTTGAATATCTGTAGAGTAGCATAAATGAAGTTTAGATAATAGATACGGCCCAAATCTGCGTTTTAAAAAATCTTGCGCATGTTTTAAATAAACCTTACCAAATGGTTCATTAATTCCACATCACACTAAGTATTCATCTATATCACGAATCAGCGTTAATGGTATCGTTGTCACGTCCGATTTTCTCGTTTTTAATTCGTTTATCAATGCCCTTAAATAAGATGCTTACGTTAAAAGTTTATTAAACTGTTTCGAGCAGACTTATTCACCGTTACCGTTAGCCTATAAAAGCCCGCTGCTGAAGATAGTCCTCCCTCATAGGACAAATATTTGCTACAGTTGCCACGCTTGGCGAATTGGCAACCGCAATTTTTTATTTTTACTTGTTAGGAACACGCTGCCCATCTCCTGATTTGCATCCCTTCGTCACCTCTTACGACACTCATGGGATGATTTGGGGTAGTAGATATTCTTACACTACAATACTCGGTAAGACCTTTTTTCAATAATAATAACTTGCATTGCAATCACTTCTGCTACTATTATAGAATATATAACATTATGATGTCAGTGGTTACTATTCACTATAGCTAATAAATAGGAATTCACTTCAAAATTATTTCTTTTAAAGCGAAGCGTAAAGCATTCCTCGCTAGCTGAGTTTTACACGTATGTATACTATCAGTATCAGTCAAATAGCACTTACAACGAACACGTAATTACTTACTCTGCTGAATCGAATTTACAACTGGTGTTCAATTGGTATGAGTTATGCTTCCTCAAAAGCTATAAATTTCCAACAAGAAGTAGTACTTCGGTTATCTGTTGTATAGTTTTCGTACATTTTACAATAACTTGTTCCACTTCTTTTGTATCCATATTAATGTTTGAAATAGTGAAATTGTCTTGACAATTCCTGAGTACTGATTGAACATTCTGCAGTTGATTTTTTATCATGAAAGCATAAAGAGTATCCAAACCATGGAGGCCCACTACACCTACTGCGTCATTTAATTTAGCAAAAGCTTTTATATTAACAATTTCTTTTTGTGTTTTTATATCGAACCACGCAGTGCAGATGTTATATAGACGGACAACCTGTAAGAATATGTACAAGATATTGAAACATTTTCTATTTTATAAATATTGTTCACAAAAAATATAATGACCGTTTTACGATGAGATCGAAATTCGGTTACTGCTATATTAATGGCTATATTACTACCACTTCAATGAATCGAGATTCAACAGTAGAAAATTTCATACTACAAAATCATTATCACATGATAAATATATGATAAAATTATTTTTTCCTAATAACACCTTTTCGCACTTTTCCAATAGTTGTGATATGTGAAAATGAATGAAATACCTGGCATCAATCAATTGCGCGATTTGTCTAGCTAGGCATCTCATGAATCCAATCGAGGGTCCGTACAATGAAATACCTTTACGCAAACTTATTTCTTTATTCACATTCTCGTTAATGATAGAAGACACCTAAAATAATAGAACAATATGAAATAAATTATTATGATTAATTTTTATTACGGAGAAAATTATCATTTAAAACAATAGAAACTAAGCAATTTCCTGGATATGTCAAAATTAATTAAGTATATAAATAATAAAAACCTGTTTTTGCCATATTCGTAAACCGTGAATGTTTATGTAATCTTGTATATATTCTAATGATCTCTTGTAGCCGTCCATACATTCAGATGTTCGAGACGAGAAATTAAATTACCGGGTTTTTTCGCCTGTGGTTCCAAAAATTCAATAAACTGCTAATATGAGTGTCCAATTCTTTCATCAGTCCTTCCTCAAGTAATTCCGCTGGATCAATTCGAATAACACCAACTAATGTTGATCTCATATCTAAAATACCTTAAATTAAAATAAATTTGCATATAGCACCCGTGACATGTAAATAGTTGATAGAGGGGAAATAACCCCCCTAGCATTATGAGTACATACTTAGAGTATACACAAGCATAGCTTGCTAATGTATACTCTAAGAGGATATAAAAATAATACAATTAATGAAAACTTAAATCAACAATTTGCCTGGCTGCGAAAAAAAAAACAATTGTTTAAGAGGGCATATGCGTTTCGCGTCGAAAACTACATGTTTTATGGTTTTTCCAAAGGCGATATCGTAACAACGTGAGGAGATTATTTGCTGAAAATTAGGGCTTTAGAAAGATGAAGTATTTATTTAGTACATAGCAATGCAAAATCATAGTTTTTAATGACGGTTTTTAGGGCGAAGACAATCCCTTCACTGTGTTTTACGAAAATATGCATCAGAGTTATCTTTCAGGTTGAATACAACCATTATTATAAGCTAAAATACTTAATTTTAAGCGTTATTATAATGAAATATATAGTCTTTTAGGGTATAGAAAAACCTAAATTACGATAATATTTCGATTTAATATTATAAAATAATATTATAAAATCACCAAAACTGTCTACTTCAATGTAATTTTTTCCATGTATTTGCTTATAAACATATCTATTTTAATTATTTTATCAAAATACATGTAATGTTAAATATCCAAAATTATTTTAAAAATACTATAAAACATCATGCGCAGACGCAGTTCGATTTTCCCATTCCCCATCAATTCGGCTTCCGAGCCAAACACTCATGTCCCCAACAAGTTCACCGCATTGTGGAATATATCCTCAGCGGTTTCTGTCCTCGTCGTCATAAGACCATCGCGGTCTTTTTTGATATAGCCAAAGCTTTCGATAGAGTCTGGCACACAGGCCTCATCTACAAGCTCTATAAAATAGGTCTCCCCGATCGTCTAGTTCGTCTCGTGGCCTCCTATTTAAAACATCGTACCTTTCGTTTTAGACACGAAGGCACGCTTTCTTCACAGCGAACTATCAAGGCTGGTGTCCCTCAGGGCTCAGTACTTGCTCCCCTGCTGTACATCCTGTTCACCAACGACATTCCCATCCCGTCGAAAGGTGTTCAACTCTCCCTCTTCGCAGACGACACTGCCATCTACTGCAAAGGTGTCTCACTACCCTTTATACGGAACAAGATCCAAAAGTCAGTTGATGACCTAGGAGCTTGGTTCAAAAAATGGCGCATCGATGTGAACCCGGAGAAGAGCTCCGCCGTCCACTTCGATTATAAACGACGCCGTCTCAAAAACACTCCACCAATACGTATGCTAGGGACCCCTGTCCCCTGGCATACGTCCGCCAAATATTTAGGTGTCACTCTAGACACAGGGCTCACTTTCAGGCCCCACGTCAAAAGAGTAACCCGTCACGCACGGTTTTATCTGAGTAGGCTCAACAGTATGTTGGGCCGACACAGTAAAATGTCCCTTCGAAACAAGCGTACTCTTTACAAGGTCTGTATACGACCAGTCATGTCCTACGCGGGCCCCGTCTTTGCCCACGCAAACCCTAACATTTTAAATGAACTCCAAATAGTTCAGAACCTCTTCTGTCGTCGAGCTGCGAACGCACCGTGGTACGTCCGTAATGCCGACCTCCATCGGGACTTAGAGCTCCCAACAATTCAACAATTTTTTAAAAAACTCTCTGAGAACTTCTTCAAAGCCTCAGAGTCGCACCCAAACCATTTAATTCGTGAGGCAGCTTCTTATGCAGCCCCACCCCCCTCTCGCTATCGTGTCCGCAGGCCGAGAAACTCTCTCTCGGACCCGCCTAATAAACTTTCAAACGACCTGAACTGTCTCCTGGCGGCTCAGGCCAACTCTAATTAAATAAAATTACTGTAATAACTAACTTTAATTTGCCTTCGTAGGCACTCCCTCAGCGGCACTTAGCCGCCTGCGCCCTCTTTTCCCAAAAGAGGGTCGCTCATGATAAGGCACAATAGAGCTTAATCAGCCGGTTGCCTGTCCCCAAAGGCGGTTTTTAGAGGGTATCACTTAGGGTCCCCGGTAGGACAGTGAGCCCCTCATAACCACGATAGACCGGCTATCGTGGTATGCGTAATGCATTTTCCGCCTCCCTACGTATAGGGTAGCCCTTTAATCGCTTCGGGCGCAAAAAAAAAAAAAAGCAGTTCGATTCAGTACGCTCCGGGTAATCCCAATGACAGGACGTATTACTTTTTCTCACCGACACCGCGCGATCGCGATGATACACCGATAGGGCTATACTACACCATACTATAACTAGATACCTATAGCACCATCGAGCATTTTAAACGATTCACTTTTATAAGCGATATTTTTGGTAGTAAGTAATTTTGAAATACGTTCATGATTGTAATATTTAAATATTAAATGATGTAATGGTGGCAAATTTTCATTTCATACATATTTTTTTTTAGAAATGAGTAATTGAACGTAAGCAATTCGGATCAAGTAAAAATACAAAATCGTTGGCTTTCACCTTTGGCTCCGTGGCGGAGTGACTTGGTAATGATTTGTAGCGCTGGGCGCCGCAGGTTCGAATCCCACATGGAACAAAAATTTGTATTACCTACAAATAATTGTTCCAGGTCTGGATGTTTGTCCTTGTGAAATTAATGTATTTAAACTGCCTCAACGATGTATGTACTTAGGAAAAATTCCTAGTGTGGAGATAACGTTATGATTAAACAAAGACAGGCCATCAAAAACATAACTTGTAAAATAACCAAGTCTCGCAATGATGATACGGCCGTGCCGCTGTTTTGGTCTACATGGCGGGGGCACTACCGTGCCCCCAGATATAAAACATATGAGCCGTGCTTGAGTTGAGTAGCTCAATGGCGTAGTGCTCGCCGTAAACGCGAACAATCCGGGCTCGATCCCCGCTAGTGTTGCCAGGTGTCCCGATTTGCGCGGGACGTCCCGATTTTCTAAAGTCTAGTGACACGTCCCGATTCATCATTGATCGGGACGCCAAATGTCCCGATTTTCACTAACCTTCTTATTCTATACTTTAATCCATAATTTTGACAGCAAAAATGATTATATCTGTTAGCTACTACCACATTAAAATATTTTTACTACGACATTGTCTCACCAGTCGAAAAAAAAAACCACAAAAGTTTTAAACAGAATTATATTAAAATGAGTGATTTGAAAAATTCAGGGACTGCAAAAAAAAAAAGTAGTTCAAAATGTTTTAATTTGCCTAAAATGAAAAAAATTCAGTTTTTACGATGTTTGGATGAAAAGTTATTCGTTCATGAGATCAGACTCGAATAATAATTATAAAGCACAAAAGTAAAGTTACAGTCACAATTTCTCGCATTACCCGCATTTTTACAGCATCTTCTTCATCTTCGCATATTTACAGTTAGCGTTGACCATCTGAGCTACCACGGCTCTCAATAAAGCACAAAAGGCTACAAAGAAACCTATATTTTGTAGTCATTCTAGTTGTCCGGATATGAAAACCAAATCCCCGATTATTTTTACCTTCCGTCCCGAAATTTTACTTGCTAGACCTGGCAACACTAATCCCCGCCGACACTGATGAAATTGTTAGTTTGATGAATTATGTTTACATTATGAAACAGAATAAAAGTTTATCAAATGATATATATTTTATACAACACATATTTTTCAATTAGAACATATACATATTATAATATACTCAATAGGGTGAAAATGTAAAGCCGACTTCAATTTACTAAAAGAATACCTAAAACAATTTCCACATATTAGCCTCCGATTTCTATACACTATATAAGTAAGCCATTATATGGAAATTATTTTTTTATTATTTTAGTTCCAACAGTATCAAAGACAGGTATATAGTCCACGATCAAAGTGATTCGTAGTCGTCGTTAGGCAACTATTATAGCCTCACGCTCGCCCTGACACGCACACAGAGATAACATTGTAGTGTGCGTCATTATTACGCCGTTCCAAAGCGATCGCGTAGATTTCGACTTGGACATATTTGAATATGCGCTCTTAACAACCGAAATGTCTATATAGGTATGACTGACTCATAGGTCAACGAATTGGTTAAATATGTATCCTACAGTTCAAAAGCGTCGCCAGCCAATGTGTAAAACTTCACGAACTCTTGATTGTACAATAAATAGGACTGTTTCCTTAGCAGCTCATTTTTTTTTTGAGTCTTGGCTGACAGCCTCCCCTCCTTGAAACTGTAGCAGGGGGGGGGGTGCCCTTGCTACAGTTTCAATGTACATCTTCATTGTACACCAACGAAACATAAATATAACAAATAATGAACAAACAACGAGGAAAAGACAAAAGGCGGTCTTATTGCTACATAGCAATCTCTTCCAGACAACCCAGAAGAGGAAATTAATAAAAATAAGATTACGATAACGGGTAGGGTGTACTAAATTAGAAAAAAAAATCACATTTATATACTAAAATGACAACATACTTTAGGTAGAATAATGACCATAACTAAGAGGAGAAAGAGAGAGGAGTTAAAGAGACAAATAGTGATCCTTAATCTAATTCTTGAACACATTTAATGATCTCACTTTTAATTGACTGGGGTAAGGAGTTCCAGTCTTACTCCAAGAACAGCAAAAGATTTATCATAAAATGTCGAGGAGTGTACAGGACATTGGAGCGAAAGATTTTCTTTGGACCGTAAGTAAAATTTGTGACAAGAGCTAAGAAATTTAAAACGTTCTTTTAGATAGGGAGGACTTGATACATTAAATAAGACACAGTAGAGCGCAGAAAGTATCTGAATATTCCGACGAAGACTAATTGGGAGGCACTTGAGTTTAG